CCTCAGCCCCCCCCCCCCCGCCCCAGCTCAACCAGCCCGGGTTGTGGGCACTCAGCCACAGGGGACACGTGGGTGTGAGTTGGGGCCTTCCCGTGGGGTCCAGCCCCGAGGGTGGTGCGTTTCTCCCCTGCCACTCTGGCCCTCTTCCTCCTCACTGGGGTATTCCTACTCTGAATAATACAATGTTTAACATTTCAGCCTGGGTACGTGTGCTCGTTGGAGAGAAATTGAGAAAGGGAAAGTGAGGAAGCATCCCGTGGGACGTGGCCGTGTGGCAGCCCCGTCCACGTCCTCCTTAGGGATTTCGGGCACACACAAGGGCCCACAGTTCTCAGGCTGCTGAGGCTAGGACTTGAACTACACAGCTGGCCACATGCAGTCCAGCCGCCTTACCCCCCACGCCACGGGCTGGCTCCTATTTCTGGTTTTAAAGTTAAAACGGCGACCTCAGCAGGGGTCGGTCCCTGAAGACAAGTGGAAGGACGGTCAGTGCTGGGAGAAGCAGCTCTGCTAGGCAGGGCCCCGGCCGGGCCGAGCGCTGAATGCCTCAGCCCCTGCCGCCCTCCGTGAGCACCGCTGGGAACTCCCACCCGGCAGCTCAGTCCGGGCACCGCCTCGTGAGCGCATTTAAGTTTTGCAACTCTGTGCAGCGACGGAAGGTGGTCACCGGGTGTGGTGGGCCTGCAGGCCACCGGGACTGTCCAGAACGCGAGTGGAGCCTGTGGTGTGCCCTCCGTAACGCAGCCGTCAGGTGCTGCCCACCAGCCGGCAAGGGTGGCATGGACGTGGCGTGCCCATGGGCCCGTGGCCAGCACGTGGCGGCAGAGCGAGCTGGCCCTGTGCGCGGGTGGAAAGTGTCGCTGCTTAACGCCTGTTGCTCCTGGAGGCCTGCTGGGCGCTCGTTCACCGGCAGGGCTGCTGCTTCCAAGTCCCGACCCAGACCAGTTCTCCGCTGCTGGTTACCGACGAGAGTTCCTGCCTGGGGGAGCAGCGGGCGAGCAGGGCTGGCACTGGCACTGCGGGTCCCTCGGCAGCATGAGGGCTTGCTGGGCTCCCAGAGCGCGGGCCGCAGAGGGGACGGCCCTGTGACTAGGAGCGTCTGCTGGAGCAGTGTCCCTGGTCCGAAGGTCCTCTCCGTACACCGTAGGCTTGCGTCTGGTGAGACGTTTTCCTGGTCTTCCCCTCCCCGCTGCTAGGACCCAGCGGGTGAGCAAGAGCAGAGAGGGCCGCATCATCCCGTCATGCCACTGCTGCCTTCCGCCCCTGCCTGTCACCCTGGCTCTCTGCACCCCACTTCCCGGAGGACGCACATGCGGGCAATTCCTACCACGGTCAGGAAAACGTAGCTAGCGCTTCGGCTCAGGACTTCAGAACACGGGCGAGGCTAGACTCACCGATGGTGTGGACGGCTGCTGGGCGTGACGACAGCGCCAGGCTGCGTGTGCCGCACAGCTCTGAGGCGTGTCGGGCGCAGGGTCGGCACCCGGTTCCGAGGCATGCCAAGGCACATAGCTCCGAGGCGTGTCGGGGCGCAGGGTCGGCGGTGCCTGGCCCACGCGGCTACGGGTCGCAGCCCTGACCTCTGCACACAAACAAGAAGGAACAACGGAGAGGAGGCAAGCGGGGCGCGTGGGAAACAGCGGCCCTTCCACCTAGTCGGAGTCTGAGTCCAGTCTTCGTTGCAGGCTGGTGCTGCACAGCAGGCCCGTGGGCCCGGTTCTGGGCAGGTGCTTCCTGAGCCCAAAGGTGCCAAGACAGGTCCTTGGTGGCTGGAGAACTGCTGCCCAGACCCCAGGCGAGGACTCTAGTGGACAAAGCAGAGGCGCAGGACGGCAGGGGGCGTGCTCTGTCCACACTGCAGCCCGTCCCTGTGTGGACAGTTAGGGGGCGTGCTCTGTCCACACTGCAGCCCATCCCTGTGTGGGACGGCGGGGCCACGTGCCTGGTCCCCACTGCAGCCTCCTCTCTGCCCCGCAGGACCCCTGCCATGATCGGCTGCTCATTCGTGGTGGACCGGGAGTACTTTGGGGACATCGGCCTGCTGGACCCAGGCATGGAGGTGTACGGCGGCGAGAACATTGAACTGGGCATGAGGGTAGGAGGGACCCAGGGCTGTTGGGCCGCGCTGAGGGCTGTCCGGGGGCTGTGCGAGGGCCGAGCTGGGCACTGAGTCCCCTCACAAGAACGGCTGAGGACAGGGTGGAGGGATGTCGGAGTGAGGGTTAGCAATCGGCCACGCAGAGGCCGCGGCCAGGAGTCGGGCGACCTCTGACTAGAACCCTGGACCGCCGCGTGCCCGGCTGGCTGTGTGGGTTGGGACCATGGAAGCTGTCGGGCTGAGCAGCCTCTCCCAAAACCTGACATCCAAAATGCTCCCAAGTCCAGCATCTTGAGTGCCGATGTGGCGCAGAGGGGGTCTCCTGACTCGTGTGATGGGTCACGTCAAAACGCAGTAGGGCACGCGTGTGCAGTCACCTCGGCCACGCACACGTGGAATGTCCGTGGGTCCTCTCCCAAGAGATCTCCTTACGTACGCGAGGCATCCCAGAACCCGCAGGTACCCAGAGCGCTCCGGCCCACCATGTGGGTAAAGCGTACCCTGCTCTCGTAGGCCTGCTCTGCTCTTCGAGCCCGTGGGGTCACATGCGTGCGTGCCACCTGCTGCTGCGGGCTGCACATTTGAAAAGGCAGCCCTCTGATTTGGGGAGCGGGGACCCCGAAGGCTGCTCTTCCAGCCCAGGGAGCGGAGCGTGGAGGAGGCGTCTCAGGCTGACTTGCCTGACAGCCCATGGTTCTGACTGTCCTGCTGGGCGTGGAGGGCAGGGGTGCCCCGGCCCCCAGCCCCAGCCCCACCCACTCCCCGTGCCGCGTGTCGCTCCTGCTGTCTCCCCCGGACACCTCTTGGGCAGGGCTGGTGTCCTCGCTGACCTGTGCCCCCGGCCGCAGCACCCCAGGGTCCACTGAGTACGGCCAATGAAGGGACGGTCACTGGGAGGGGTCTCTGCAGAGCCCATCCGGAGCTGGGAGGGTGGAGGATGTCGGGAAGTGGGTACGCTTTGGCCGAAGTGGTTCTCCTGCAACATGGCGCGGAGCACTGTTCTGGGGGTGAGCGGAGAGCAGGTCCCTGCGACGCCAGGCGTGGTGCGCCTGCTCGGGGGAGCGTGGCCAGCGGTGCCGGGTGTTGGTGCTGGAGTTGTTTGGAGCTGGAAGGTTGGCAGGACGGCACCGAGGCGGCTGCCACGCGTGGACACATCAGGTAGCGAGCCGCATGGCTGACGGGGACAGGGTCGAGCTGAGGGAAGGCGCAAAGGCCCCCAGGCCGGTCCAGGCAGGCCCGGGTCGGCAGGAGCATGTCCACGTGTACCCCTGGCTCCATCAGACATGGCTGCTGCAGCACAGGTGCCAATGCGGGTGCCCATGAGCCTCCCCCGCCTGGCCCGGGAGCAGAGTGACAGGTCGCGGCCGACCTGCGTCTCCGAGGGGGGGATGCCGGCTGGTGGGGTGGAGGG